GCTTTCCCAACAAAAGCCTCAACCCCCCCCGCCCTCCCCGCCGCCCCCCTGGCCCCGGCACGAAAGCAGAACTGCTCTCCCTCCTCCCTCCCTTCCCCAAAACTTACCAGCTGGTTTCCCGAGCAAGAGTTGTGCTGAGCGGCTCAGCCTGAGCCTGAGGGAAGGTGTGAGGTGGACCCGCCTGCCGGCAGTCTCTGGAGGAGACTTCTCCCGGGCCGGCGTGGGTCACTTGCTGGCACTCGCCACTGGCCGCACGCACTCGTTTGTGCCCAGGCACGCGAGGCAGGCCAGCAGCGAAGCAGCCAGGCTTCTTCTGGCTGCACGCTGAGTCGTGCGCGAGGTGGAAAACGAAAATGAAGCATCCGGGCTTCTTCTAGGCAGCTGGAGGATTCGGACTCGGCCACGAAGCAGCTGGGCCTGGCCGAGGCGCCGCTGCCGCCGAAAGCAGGGGGCGGGGCTTCGTTGTGTGCCCCGCCCCTCACCCGGGGGGATGGCGATCCCCCGCGATTACCCCGAATCGACCTCTGCCCCTTGGTCATCCAAGGGCCCTACTGCCTCCCTGTCTGGTTTCCTGCTTCTAATGTATTTGAAGACAGTTTTATTGTTGGTCTTTATGTTTTTTGTTATATGCTCCTCATACTCCCTTTTTGCCTGCCTGATCACAGACTTGCATTTTATTTGTCACAGCCTATGTTCCGTTTTATCAACCCCACTGGGACTAGCTTTCCACTGCTTAAAGGAATCCTTCTTACCTTTTTACAGCTGCTATTACTTTGTTTCTTAACCATGCAGGCCTTTTTCTATACCTATTTGTGCCTTTCCTAATCTGTGATATATATTTTATCTGAGCTTCTAGGATTGTAGTTTTAAATATTCTTATTGCACATAGTCAACACTAGTGGAGGGGCAGGTTCCAGGGCTGAACCTTTGTTGCCCTCGAATTTCCTCGTTAAAAACCTGACCTGGATAGCCACAGCAAGCCCATTCCATTAGATCTCGGAAGCTAAGCAGGATCGGCCCTGGCTAATATTTGGATGGGCGACCTCCAAGAAATACCATGGGCATGATGCAAAGGCAGGCAACAGCAAACCACCTCTGAAAACTTCTCTTGCCTTAAAAAAAAAAGTCTGGTAAAAAAAAAGCTAGAACTTCTGGCTGCCAGACAATCTTAGGATTTCCTGGCTATACCACACATACCGTCATACAATAACCAATTCCTCATTTTAAAAACTCGGCTCTATAGCATTAGGTTTCCTTAGCTAAATTACTTAGCACCAAATCCAGGATCGCCTCTCCCCTGGTAGGTTCTGTGACCATCTGCTCCATAGCACAGTCATTTAGAGTGTCTAGAAACTCAATCTCTTTTTCTCACCTAGAACACATATTGGCCCAAAATGTTGGGAAATACCTGGAGATCTGGGTGTGTGTGTGTCCAGGAATTACCTGGAGATCTGGGGGTGGGTGGAGCATGGAGAGGATGGGGTTTGGAGAGGGGAGGGACTTCAGCAGGGTATAATGCCATAGAGTCCACCCTCCAAAGCAGCCATTTTCTCAAGGGGAACAGATCCTGGTCATCTGGAGATGAAGTGTAATAGCAGGAAATCTCCAGGTGCCACCTGGAGGATGGAAACCCTTGCTGGAAGATGGACCCCAGCTATGTCCAGATGCTTGCCTGCGTCCTGAGCCTTGGAGATGCCCTCTGCACTCTCAAGCTGGACAAACTGGGGACTCCCCTACTCTTTCACCTTCATCCCACCTAGGGATGCCCGTCTCCAGGTGGGACCTGGGAATCCTCTGAAATTATGGTTCATTTCCAGACTGCAGAGATCAGTTCTCCTGGAGAAAATGGGTGCTTTGGAGCGTGGGCTCTACGGCAATGTATCCTACTGATGTCCCTGTTTTAGCCAGGTTCAGTCCATGAATCTCCTGGAGTTCCCCAACCTGGATTTGGCAACCCTCCCCCCCATGCCCTTCTGGTGCCCAGGAAGGGACCACAGTCCTAATCCTACCTCTCTTCCAAGGAGCTCAGGGTTCTCCCTTTCCTATTTTCCCTCACAACAACCCTATGAGGTAGGCGAGGCTGGGAAGATGCAGTTAGCTCGAGATTACCTAGTGAGCTTCATGGCTGCAAGGGGATTTGAACTGGGATCTCCCAGCTCCAAATCTGAAACTCAGTGCAGCATACAAACTCTGAGTGTTCACAGTGAGGGAGGCTGAGAAAGATGTTCAATCCTTTGTTAACTTGCCTCCAGTCACCTACTGATGCTTCCCCCCCTGCAGGGTTCCAAACAGCTTTTCATAGAAGAAGAAGAAGAGATTGGATTTATATCCTGCCCTTCACTACCCAAAGGTGTCTCAGAGCGGCTTACAAACTCCTTTCCCTTTCCCTCCCCACAACAGACACCCTGTGAGGTAGGTGGGGCTGAGAGAGCTCTGACAGAAACTGCTCTTTTTTCAAGAACAGCTGTGCCAGAACTATGGCTTTCCCGAGGTCATCCAGCCAGGTGCAAGTGGAGGAGTGGGGAATCAAACCCAGTTCTCCCAGATTAGAGTCCGCGCACTTAACCACTACACCAAACTGGCTCTCTCTAAGCACACTTTAGAGGACAACGAGATTGTGAAACAACCTGAAGTTCAGAAACTCAGTCAGGGACAGGTTAAGCAAGCTCTGGATTCCCCACTCCCTTTGCCTTTTCTGCTCCAAATCCCCTCCTTCCCAATGCTCTTCTTTTCCTTAAAAAATGTATTGGGATGTGATAAAATAACACCGCATTCCATAAATATTCCATAAATATCTGAGTTTGGGGTCCGAAAGCAAATTTTCTCCCAGCCAGTTTGGCCAGGGATCCTGGAGGTGGGGTTAGTTTGTTTTTTTGCCATCTTCTGGGCATGGAACGGGTGTCGCTGGGGGTGTCAGGGGGAGATATTCGTGAATTTCCTGCATTGTGCAGGAGATTGGACTAGAAGACCCTGGAGATCCATTCCAACTACATGATTATATGATGCTACGAAGGATCTCCCACACCATCCATGACCCGAAATAACAGAGACACAGTTCTAGTTTCAAGCACTCGGAAATGCTTTATTCTTGTTAATGTTAGCAAGGACAAAAAGACAATTTGAAATTATCATCTGGGTTATATTTCAGGAAGAGGGTTTCTGGCAAAGCCAGAGCTGGGTCCTTGAATGCCCCTCTCATCAATGGACCTCGGAGAGCCACTGTGGGTAGCCAACACTCGAGCATCATCTCTGCAGACAGAAAAGAGTTTCACATTCAGTTTAAAACGTATGTGTAAATATTTATATGATTTTTTAAAAAGGACAGCCATACACACTCATCTGGGTCATCCCTCCTTCTGATAGTGAGGAAAACATAGCCAGGAACTGCAGAAAAACTTGTCCCAGATATGCAGAAAACCATTGTGCTGGGTGGTGAGAAAGAAATGAAGACTCCCCTTTAGCCACCCCCCAAAAAAAAGACTCTGTTGGAGATCACATGAGTCACGTGGAGTGGAATAGCTGGCTGGATCCAGCCCATAATTTTTAATACTTGAAGTGTCTGAAAAGATTGATAAGGTCTGAATATGCTGATTCTCCTCTGGGAGACACAGAAGAGGAAGGCAGTAAAACGTGGTCCCCGCTGAGCCGCTGAAGCGTTTTAAATATGGCAGGAGTGGAGGAGGGGGGATGGCGGCTGGGCAGGTGGTCGCACTTGGGGGCGGGGCTTGGGCATCCCCGCCCACCCCAGATTGCCTCCCAAATCCCCCTGCTGGAGTGAGGAGGGGACCTGGCAACCCTAGGGAGGCAGCTGAGCACCAGTAAAATGGGAAAGAGGATAGTCAGCAGCTCAAGCTCATCAGTCTCATCCTGGAGGGTGAGATCTGTGCAGAAGGGAGATTTTCCAGCCTTTCATCTCCCCCACCTTGAGAACATTGATGGGCCCCAACTTGTTCTTTGTGTAGCTTCTGATGAACTCAGTGGGTTCTTTCTGTAACAGATCTCACAGCCCTGTATAAATGCTATACATTTCAGAATATGATGAAACAGACGACTACTGTGTATTCTCCTTTCCTTACGTATTATGCAACCAATTTTTAGAGGCCAATTATTGATCAGAATTTATTGATCTGATGCTGGCCTGGAAGCTGCCTATATTTCTGCAGGAACAATTGTGGATTGGGGGGGGATGATTCGTGGCAATCGTCAGCCTTCTCTCTAGAGACCACCAAGCCTACGCAAACCCTACGCAAGCAGGGTGCCAAAATCTCCTCCCTGTGTTGATCTGGGCCTTCCCCTTTCTACCATCTCTTTTGTTTTCTCTCTGCTCTGTCAACATTTAAATGTTAAGCTTCTCCAAACAGCAGCTTGCCTTCCTCTACTCTGTAAAGTGTCTTTCCCATTGACGTCACACTGTGGACAAACAATGCAACATTCCTGATCACAGCACAGTATCTCCTACAAAGATACTTACTTAAGGCTTTTTGCAGCAACGACCCATTTTATTGCCACATCCTCCGATTATCTGATAATCTTTTGGGCAGTTCATAAACCTGCATATTCCACCTGCCTTGTCACACTGAGCCGGAGTCGTTATCTTTCGAGCAGCAAATGCTGTAGAGAGGCAAAAAGAAAAGGAAATTCTATCCACAGACCAAATATTTACCATTCTCACTAGATTTTCTTCTAATCTTGGAAAACATCAGAAAATCTGGCCTCGCAGCCTAATTTCATCAGAGCTACATATTCCCCAAGTCAGACAGAATTTTGCTCAGTAGTTTACCTGGAGCAGCCAGCAGCATTAAGAAGAGAAATGCCGAGAGAAAGGAAAAGATCTTCATGACTGCAAGGTCGGACGGTACCTCAGTGGATGTCGGAATGGAGAGATGACCAGAGTCCTCGTATTTATAGGACAAAAGGAATTGAGTCACACCAGAATGTGGACATCTTGGGGCCCCTAGAAGGAACCAGTGTATTGAAATATCATGTGGTAATATTGTGCGAAGAAACCCCTAGATGAGTGGGTAGCATTCCAGGTAGCAAGAATTTCATGCAAATCAGCTGTTCCTCACTGAGAACAAAGAGGGAAGCTACCTGCTCTTGTGACAGATATATTATCTGCATTTAGTCCATAAGATAATTAAACCATGGAGCTCAATATGACCCAAGGCTTGCAAGACTGTAGCCTTTTAACTTGTTTTCAATATCATTACTGGCTGTATAATTTTAAAAGTCTCACTGGACAGGTGTCAAATACTTTCCTATTAGCATTGTGTAATTGTTATTGTATAACTGAACCCCTAAAAAGAGTGAGGACATCCAGGCAAGCTGTATGGGGTTCTAGGCAAGAGCCTGTGCTATGCCACCTTTCACCTCACATGTCAGCCCTTTTAAAGTTCTAGGAGCATGGGAAATAATAATAGCTAAGAGGCAGTCCTGAGCATGTGCATTGTGACTGTTTTGGCTACATCTCATGCATTAAATGCTTCCAAAGCAGAGGGTGTGACGTGGGGTAGGATTAAGCCATCATTCTTCTCACTTGGAGTTGCTCGGGGGTCGCTCTCCAGGCCTTCCCTTTGTAGCCATGCACACAGAGGTTTTGGCTGTAGTGGGCGTGGCCAACTCTGAAGCCAGCCGGAACTCCGTTCCTGTGTGTTCCTGTCCAAAATTAGCCCTGCTCAAGATAGAGTTAAAATAAATAAATAAATAAATAAATAAATAAATAATAAAGGATTATTAGGTAAAGGGAGAGGCAGAACTGGATGGAAAACGTAAGAGACTTGAAGGGAGTGAATGTTAGCTAGTTGGCCTCTTTTTTCCCCTTACTCTGTTTCCCCCTATTTAGATAGATAAGTTTAAATAAGGTAGGTAGATAACTTTAAGAACCTTGTGTAAATAGTGGAAACAAAGAACTATTAAATAAAATAAAAACGTTGAGTGTAATCAGGAAGACAGCTGCCCCATTGCCAGGGCAAGCGAAGGCACTAGCAGCAAGCTTAGCTCAGACAAGTACAAAAGAGTTACAGGCTTTCATACAGGAGAATGTTTCACAAGCAATGAATGAGGTGATTCAGAATGCCCTACCATCTTTTTTTTTTTTTAATAAGTTTATTTTCAGTTTTCCATCATACATTGATTTCCACTTGATATACATTTACATTTGGGGGGTTTACAAGTTTATCTCGTACCACTATAAGGCTTTATGCCACTTCTGGTTAAATTTATCTTCTAGTTTACCAGCCATCAACATGTTCAGCTTATCCATTTCCATTATCTCAAAAAGTTTATCAATCAGTTCATCCCTATTTGGTATAATATCTGATTTCCAGTTTCTCGCAATGCTTATTCTTGCCGTTGTAATTAGATAAGTGATTACACATTTTTCATTATACTTAATGCCATTGGGTATAATATTTAATAGAAAGGTTTCTGGGCGTAACGGTAAATCTATTTCTGTGATATCTTTTATTAACTGTTTAGTAATTTTCCAAAATCTTTGGATTTTATCACAGTTCCACCAAATATGTAGGTATGTTCCTCTGTTATTTTTGCACCTCCAACAGTTTCCAGAGTTGGTTGCGTAGCATTTTTGCAGCCTATCTGGCGTCCAGTGCCACCTATAGTTCATTTTTATTATGTTCTCTTTATAGGGTATTGATCTTAATAGCTTAATTGAGTCCCAAGATTTTTCCCATTCTTCTCTCTGGAGCTTACGCCCCAGATCTCTTTCCCATTTGATCATAAATGGTTTCTCCCGATCGTTTATTAACTCTTCTTCTAGGAGAAAATTATAGATTCTTCCAATCTGTTTTTCTGTCTCCCATAACCAAAGTTTATCTAGTTGTGTGTCCGTGTCGTAGAATCCTGTTTTTTTATCTCTTGTATATCTTGATATTAACTGATTCTTTTCCCAAATTGAGAGGTTTACATGCATTTCTCGCAGCGTTTCCCAATTTTTAAGTTCGTTCTGTTCTCCTAATAAGTTCTTATATGTTATATTCTTTTCTTCCGTCATTAACGTTGGCATCACAAATGCTTCTAGAGGGGAGATCCACTTAGGTATTTTTACGTAATGTTTTCCTTTTATTTGTTTCCAGACTTGCATCAAGGGCCCTCTTATTATGTGGTTTGTGAAGGTCTTTTGTGGCTTATCTATATTGTACCACATATAGGCACGCCCATAGGTAGGTCATGACCTTCAAGCTTTAATAGCTTTTTATCTTCCAGTAGAGCCCACTCTTTTATCCAGCCTAATGCTGCAGCCTGATAATACAGGTCCCAGTCTGGTAGCCTTAGTCCAGCTCTCTTCTTATTTTCTCTCAACAATTTTAGTTTTATTCTGGCTCTTTTCCCTTGCCAAATGCATTTTCTTGTCAATTTATTTAATTCTTCAAAAAACTTTTTATTTTTAAGAATTGGAAGGCATTGTACTAGAAATATAATGCGCGGTAACACGTTCATTTTGATCGTGGAGACTCTTCCCATAAAGGAAATTTGTAGGTCTTGCCATCTTTGTATATCTTTTTTAATTTCCTCTAGGGTTTGTTTATAGTTATTTTCATATAAGTCATTATTGTTGTTTGTAACATTAATGCCCAAGTATTTCACTTTTTTTACTACCTCTAATTTAGTATTTTCTTGTAAGTCTCTTCTATCTTCTTTTGTACAGTTTTTTGTTATTAGTTTCGTTTTATTCATATTTATTTTAAAGCCTGCTACTTTTCCATATCGCTGTATTATTTGTAACAAGATCTTAATCGTAGTCATAGGTTCTTCTAGAATATAAACCAGGTAATCGGCAAAGGCCAGTAGCTTAAAGTCTTCACCTTTCAATTTAAGCCCTTTTATATCAGCATTTGATCTCACTATTTCGTTTAGCGTTTCTAGGCCAAAGATGAATAATAGAGGGGACAGTGGACACCCTTGTCTTGTCCCCTTTTCAATGGGGATTCTTTGAGTCAAATCTCCATTTACTATAATGCTCGCCCATTGTTCGTTATATATTGACTCTATCATATTCATAAACAGATTTCCACAGTACCAATATTTTAATTTTAGTTTCATAAAATCCCAATTTACATTATCAAAGGCTTTCTCTGCATCAAGGAACATTAATGCTAATTTTTTCCCTGGATGCATTTCATAATATTCAATACTATCCACTATAATTCTTATATTCCTCTTAATTTGTCTTTTTGGGAGAAAGCCCGCTTGGTCATGATGGATAATTTGGGACATGACTTTTTTGAATCTGTTTGCTATTATTGCCCTACCATCTTTTGTAGCCAAAGTGATGGAACCATTACAAACAAAATTAGATGCTTTCACACAAGTATCCTTACAAATTGAAGAATTAAAAAAAACAAATTATAGAGAATAGACAGGAGATATCAAGTCTGGTCACTTCAATTAATAAAATAGAAAATAAAGTAGTAGAAGTACACCAACAAATACAGGATTTAAAAATGAAATATGATGCGATGGAAGAAACACTAATGAATTTGGAGATGGAGAAGGCCACCCACATTCTAAGATTCCAAAATGTTCCAGAAAAAAAAGATGAGAATATAAAAGAAGTGATGGTGGAAGCCCTAACTGAACATTTAAGTATAGGAACGACTAAATATTTTTTTTAAAAGATGGATGCAGTATACAGAAGAAATTCAGCGTACAAAAAAAAGATGGCTTAATCCTACCCCACGTCACACCCTCTGCTTTGGAAGCATTTAATGCATGAGATGTAGCCAAAACAGTCACAATGCACATGCTCAGGACTGCCTCTTAGCTATTATTATTTCCCATGCTCCTAGAACTTTAAAAGGGCTGACATGTGAGGTGAAAGGTGGCATAGCACAGGCTCTTGCCTAGAACCGCATACAGCTTTCCTGGATGTCCTCACTCTTTTTAGGGGTTCAGTTATACAATAACAATTACACAACGCTAATAGGAAAGTATTTGACACCTGTCCAGTGAGACTTTTAAAATTATACAGCCAGTAATGATATTGAAAACAAGTTAAAAGGCTACAGTCTTGCAAGCCTTGGGTCATATTGAGCTCCATGGTTTAATTATCTTATGGACTAAATGATGATAATATATCTGTCACAAGAGCAGGTAGCTTCCCTCTTTGTTCTCAGTGAGGAACAGCTGATTTGCATGAAATTCTTGCTACCTGGAATGCTACCCACTCATCTAGGGGTTTCTTCGCACAATATTACCACATGATATTTCAATACACTGGTTCCTTCTAGGGGCCCCAAGATGTCCACATTCTGGTGTGACTCAATTCCTTTTGTCCTATAAATACGAGGACTCTGGTCATCTCTCCATTCCGACATCCACTGAGGTACCGTCCGACCTTGCAGTCATGAAGATCTTTTCCTTTCTCTCGGCATTTCTCTTCTTAATGCTGCTGGCTGCTCCAGGTAAACTACTGAGCAAAATTCTGTCTGACTTGGGGAATATGTAGCTCTGATGAAATTAGGCTGCGAGGCCAGATTTTCTGATGTTTTCCAAGATTAGAAGAAAATCTAGTGAGAATGGTAAATATTTGGTCTGTGGATAGAATTTCCTTTTCTTTTTGCCTCTCTACAGCATTTGCTGCTCGAAAGATAACGACTCCGGCTCAGTGTGACAAGGCAGGTGGAATATGCAGGTTTATGAACTGCCCAAAAGATTATCAGATAATCGGAGGATGTGGCAATAAAATGGGTCGTTGCTGCAAAAAGCCTTAAGTAAGTATCTTTGTAGGAGATACTGTGCTGTGATCAGGAATGTTGCATTGTTTGTCCACAGTGTGGCGTCAATGGGAAAGACACTTTACAGAGTAGAGGAAGGCAAGCTGCTGTTTGGAGAAGCTTA